TGTGTTTCGTTGTGAAAGCGAAACTACTGTTTGGCCTTCCAAAAGAGCACACGACTAGAAATCAGTGGTTAAGTTGTATTTACAACACTGTTCCAGAACACTTCAACCCAAATATTCAGATGTGTGCAGCACATTTTATGGAGGACTGTTTCCTGATCCTGGGAGAGTAGACTACAATGCCGGCTGTTCTGACTCACAGACTGTAAGTACGTTTTTTATATTTAAAGAATTTGCCACTGACGATTCAAACGCGAGTTTTGAGCAGTGTAGAGTAGCGTTTGTAGTTTGTCATTTCTCCGAACACAAATGCAGACATGGTTTTATGTTTACACGATGCAACGCAACGCAAAAATCGACGCGTTTCAGAAAGGCGGGGCATAGAGGAGAAACAATAATGTACAGTATGTGGAAAATAATGTGTTTTTTTTTACTTTAAACCACATAAACACATTTCATTACACCAAATACACAAAATAATGTTATTTTTAGCAACATCATATGACCCCTTTAAGGATTTATGCAACTTTGCCAAGTTAGTTGGTAGTGTAAATTGTACATGTAGGCTATTTGTATGATAGCCACTGAATAATAATACTGCTCAATAATAATACTGCTCAAGAATGTTAAATGTAATATGTAATATATGATATGGTTATTTATGTCATGTATTTGGACAAAAATGTAATTCATTACTGTTACCAGTCACGTGAGGCAAAAAATAATTAAATATCAACTTTTAACTGGATACTGAAATGCAAAGTAATCAGAAGTAATCACTACTTCTGTTTGAAGGCTTCTTATTAGAACAATAAAGGCAGATGTCATGTAATGTTTACAACTTACCTTAGCAAAGTCTTACCTTAAGAACAAATGGTGTGACCAAATCAAGTACAGATTCAGTTACAAACTAACTAGTAGTCACTAAGCCCCCAATGTGAACTTAGTGTTTTTTCATTCAAACTGAAGGATATTAAAGTCTGTTTGAATGTTACCGTTGGCGAGTAGCCAAACCAAATGAAATAATTCTAACAGAAATTGGTTAAGTAAACAAATAAAAACGTAATATTCCTAACGTTTATGCGTCCAACTGTGAATACTCTTTTACGAGCGTTTTTAGCCAAAGTAGCGATACAGCGCGCGGGCGTCGACATTAACCAGACTAATAAAATGATGTCACGCAGGCTGCGCTCTAGCCCCTTCAGTCAGCCTCACTGAACACACAATGTCGTCATGAAAGGGGCGGGTCTGGAGTGACTATACGTGTGGCCATTGGACATTCCAACTGCCTGTCACTTTTTGTCGCCTTTCTATTGGCTACTAGCATGTGGGTTTATCTCTCCATCTCTTGCTGCTCTTGTATAAATGCCGCTTACTTTTCTACCATCAACCTCCGCCGGATATTATAGTTCCTATTTTAAATTATGTTCCCCTTAAACTACACCTATTAAATCTTGTCTGAATAATGATTAACAACCATTCTGCGCGTTCTGACCAATCCGTGTTTTTTTAATCGGTAGACCTTGTCGAAAAAACTCTTGACTCCCCTGGGCACATGAAACTGAACACCCGAGCGTTTGTGGCCCCTCTTTCCATGCGGAGGAATACATTGTTGCTGCTCACAATGTGTGGATGGAGGTGGTCAAGATGTCTACTAGAAGAATGAATTCACCTCAATTGTAACAACATAAAGGAAGTCGTGGCGCGGGATTGTTTGGATACCGACCCGCAACATTGTATTTATGACGTTGGCGTTTTGTAGGAGGATGTCAAAGGAGGAATAACACACATTGTTGCGCCTATCAGCCTTAAATGCGCCGTGCTTCAAATTCTTTCAAGTTTTATGGTTTTTCCCTACGAGATTCAACCTTTCTTTTTACTGCTGGATGTAAAACAACTGATAAACAAAGGTAAAGCTTATTGCCTTTTGTCGTATTTTACTGGGTTACTAAGTTTAATTATTTAAGTCTCATATTTACATCATAGAAATCACATAATTGCATATTGAAGTTCCATTTAGCAAGTTTTAGGGATGTGTGCTTATGAAAGTGGGGGGGGGGTGCAGTTTTTTTCTTGCTTAGAGGCTGTGGTGTTGGTGGAAGTCCTGCCCAGTTTTGTGCTGGTGGTCTTTAACCCAGTTCTATCCTTACAGAAATGACTCCTTTGTCCTTTTATCAAAGTAATGATTAGTTTTGTGGGGCGCTTATGAGTTTAAGTGACTAGTTAAGAGCGAGCTGTCAGTGCACATTTAAATGACAAATAACTAATGGCTGAAAGTTACTTTAATTGGTTGGACTTGTTAGAATGTACAATTTCCTACTGAACTTAAGCACCGGGTTGAAGTGTGTTGTATCCAGGTTTGCTTTTCATAAAAACCTTTGGATAATTCAGTTACTTAAACCCTATTCGCACGGGACTAGTATTACCTGGTGACCTCCAGTCATTTGTAATAATTGCGGAGGTTGTCTGTGATCTTAATCCCGTGCGAATCGGCCATGTCTGTAATTTGTAAAGTAAAAATTCCCCCGCAAAAGACCTACCATATTTCGCCGAACACCGAGGTCCTGTGATAATATTAATCCCGTGCGAATCGGCCATGTCTGTAATTTGTAAAGTAAAAATTCCCCCGCAAAAGACCTACCATATTTCGCCGAACACCGAGGTCCTGTGATAATATTAATCCCGTGCGAATAGGGCTTTAGTTGAATATTTTTTGGCAGGAAATACCTCGCCCCCCACCCCCACTCGCCTTCATCAACTCGCGAGTCTCTTGAGGAAAAGTTGACATTTTGTAGCGGTACTTTTATTAACTTTTGCTTAATCCCCAGCCAAGCTTGTACATTTATCTCACAACTCATGAATAATTGAGATTGTCGGCTCTACGGCTGGTTAATATATTGATAATAATGCCGCCCTTATCAAAAGTACGTGCTCGCGATCAATGTGGCCTATCTGTTTTCGAAATGGTTAAGCTATCGGAATACAATAAGTTTACAACTGAGAATAAATATTGACATTGTTCATGTCTGGATGAAGCTTAGTCCTAGTTACACAAAGAAAGGGACGTGACTGACCTCTAGTTTAAACGTGTCTGCACATTCAGCAATTGAGATGGGTTTTAAAATAGACATATAGGCTACATATATATGTATATGTATTTTCAGTGTTGGGGTAACGCATTACAAGTAACGCGAGTTACGTAATCAGATTACTTTTTTCAAGTAACTAGTAAAGTAACGCATTACTTTCCATAAAAAGTAACTAAGTAACGTAATTAGTTACTTTTGTATGGAGTAACGCAATATTGTAATGCATTACTTTTAAAAGTAACTTTCCCCAACACTGTGTATTTTACGCATTTTTATTCATAACGTGGATTTTGTTCGGGTAGCCTACATTAAATTTGTGGTTTAGTGGTAACACTGTTGCGCTCTCTCTTACAACTAACCAACCACCAATGGCTGCAGTGATACCGGACTAAAGATACTATTTACCTTTTAACTACGAAATACGTTTTAAAACTTGTGTTTGGCCTTGTTTTTAGTGTCCCCTTATTAATTTCTCTTTGTCGTGTATGTGTGTGTGTGAGAGAGAGACAGAGAGAGAGAGAGAGAGAGAGAGAGACCTTTACCGTTAGGGATGGAAATTGTAAGGAATTGAACGATTCTGCTCCAGTTCTTCTCATAATCATTTCTTGGCGATTTTAATTATTTATTAAATAATATCTGGAAAACATGTTTATTGCATTTACAGCCTTAGGTAGTTTTTTTTTTTTTTTTTTTTTTTGGCAAATTATGCGACCATTTCAGATTTCAGCAGAACCGACATAAATAAATGTACATCTCTCGCATAGGTGTTTATTTACAGACTTTTAGAACTCTCATGAATGCATCATAAAACTGGCTCTAATTTTAATGCAAATGGCAAACAAACAAAAAGGTGGTAACCGGTTTCATTCATTATTTATATAGCCTAGAATATACCTACATGATGTGTAGGCCTTATCTTATTTGCACGTTGTCATACGAACAACCAGTCATTAATTATGTTTATTTAAATTATTGTTTTATTTCAAATCAGACTTAACTAAATAAATAACTAGGGGTTAAGTAAGTAAGTGAGTTAGAGTAATTCATTAACAGCTCCGACTGATTCATAAGTGTTTTCGATCCACTATACAGAACCGGTTCATAAGAATAATTCGTTCGGAAATCGAATTGCACTGGTGCTACTGTATTTTTTGAATCACTTAAAAGAATCGACTCTTAGAGTCACTCGTTCAGGAATCGGATTAGACTGGTCGCGCTGTATGTTTAATGCTCTAGATAAAATGAATAATAGGAAATGCTGTCAGATCACCGTGGTCTGCATGATCAAAAAGTGCTAAATTAATTGTAAATCATAAATAATTCGCTTCCGTTTTTTAAAATATAAAAATGAACCGGCTCTCGATTCCCAACCCTAATAGGCTACTATATGGCCTTCACCTCATTGGACAACCAGGGCTGTTTATACCAGTTACAATCGCTCCATGTCTCTCGTATCTGAGACGTTTGTCACATTTTACATGGAAATATGTTAGTATACTGAGTAAAATATATTTTTTACCTGTGTTTTGGCTTTGTTTTGGTTGGCAAAGGCTTGAGGGGGATTTGGGCCCTCTGTTACTATCTTTGTCTTTTTACTAAGGGGCCACATTCTGTATGTTTTCATTTAGCTGTTTTTGTTTGGGAGTTGAAAAAGCAGTGTGAATAATATGTACTGTACTTGCAAGGTGTAAAAACACTTTTTTTTTTTGCCATTGGCTTGTAATGGTGTTATAATCAGACCGCTAAAGAGAAGCTAATGGTTAATAAGCAGGACTGCTAAAGCACACCACCTGTTTGCATCAAATAGCATACAGGATGTTTTTGAGAAAAAGTTTCTCATTTACCAATATTTGGCAATTTCATTGTATTTTAGCAAAATAGTAACTTTTAAACATTTTACTGCAGTTGGTGGTTGTATAAAATTTTCCCACCTTGTTTGATGGTCTGCTTTTATGCAAATCAACTGGCCAGATAATTATAAATCATACACAGAACAGATATGTACAATAAGTTAAGAACATTGATTTGCATGTTCCATGTACTGATATCATGGTTTCATGGAAACTTATTGACTGGTGATTGCATTTAGTTTCATTGCTGTGCTGATGTTGCATAACACAACAATATTAATAATAAGATTGACTGATGTTATAGAAGGACTGGCTCTTTGAAAACAAAATGTTTGTCCTGTAATGCTTTTTTGGCTGTTTCATTGTAGCACAAGACTAATTGTAGTGTGTAAAACATACAGGATGACTTTGGCCAAATTAATTATCAGGCAAGTTTTAGATTTACGATTAAAATCTTGGACAAGATAATAACTTGGCAGTGGCTGTTTGTGAAACCTCCTGAAGCGATTCATAGTTAGTTAATTAAAATTAGTCTAATTTTTCATTTGAGACATGGAAATGCTGGTAATATACTCTTTAAGAGATATGTATATTATAAGTACGACACATTTTCATTTATATCTACCATTCCATACGAGGACACTCGACTTTCATCACTGCTTTTCTCATTCTGGTCTTTAGACAGCTCACCCCAGCTGTGTCTCTCTCTCTGGCTTTCTCCTGCAGGGTGCTTTAAAGACAGAGGGGTATGAACGAGCCTCACCAGAGAATGGCTACAGTGGGAACAGATAAAGAACTCAGTGACCTGTTGGATTTCAGTGCGGTAAGGAAGAGAGTATGGAGTCTTTGTTATTAGTCTGGACAAAAACGCTCTCTCGTAAAGAATCATTTTATGATTCCTTATTCACTTTGACTAAATCTGACCTTGTAGTCAGAGGATAGCAGTTTTTCTTCATACCACTTCAAACTGATCGAATCTCATGTCACAATGCCTGCTGTGTTGTTGGTGGCTATAAACATTATAATGAATCTTTAAATCATGTGCAATCTCCAATTAGTTCCTGAGAAGTGTGGTTTGCCATTTGAAACATCTCCAGCATAATAACCATCACTCAATCCTCTCTTATCCTTATCCTTCCATTTATTATTCTCATTTCACCTGTTGTTAAAATGTGATTATTCTTGGCGGTCATGCTATCCTAAATAGCATTAAAAAATAGGGAATATAAAAATGTTAATCGCTTGATTCATTGAATGACTCGACCATGCTTAATTTATTGCATTGGAAAATTGCCATCTACTGAAGCAGCTAATCAATTAAGACAATACATTGATAATCAGACGTGACAGACCAAATGCATTATGATCTCACATCTAATTACAAATTGTTGATGGTTTAGTTACTCCCTCATATCGCATTCATTTTCCAGCCTTGAACCTTTGTCAAAAACCAAAGGATTTGCAGATTATGCGTTTGATATCTTCTTTCTTATTGTGTAAAAGGTGTTTCACATTGTGAAAAATGTCTACCACACCAGAAAGTCCCTCTCATGCACCATGCAAGGCCAGCACTGTTGCTGCTTACGGGTTTTTCTTTGCACTTCAAAAACAAAGAGACATCATCCGTCCATGTAAACGGGTCCTCTTCTGTCCTTTCCGTGAAACCCTGAATTCTTTGTAGTACAAGACAAGATGCTTCTTCAAAGAGCCATACTACTTTGTGAGAAAGGGTTTCTTTCAGATCGAACCATTTTAGTGGGTTGTATCTGCAAAAATTGACGTGACCTTTAGCATTACGCCCCATTCACACGGGGCCTCGGCATCAACGACTCTCGTTTACTTTGAATGGAGTGACGTCAAGCGTTGCCGAACTGAATTGTGGGTCCGTTGCGTCGCGTCGGGTCCGTTGCTCTCAGCAGAAGTTGAAAACTTTTCAACTTTTCATGCGCCAACGCAGGCGTCAGCCAATCAAATCGCCTTATGCAAATACCCTGGTGCAGACGCTAGCCAATCGCGATCATGCAACACCAGAAAACTAATGTGATTGGTTGTTGTCACTATGACGGTCGCACCAGCACCAAGCTTCAGAAACGCCCTCCATCAAGCACCGACGCCCCATATGAATGTACCGTTAAACTTTTGAACGAGGTAAGCTTGACGTCACAGCGTGAATCCCCAATAATGCTGAAAAATCGCTGTCTGTGGACACCTGTTGATGTGAGTTTGTCGTGATATGCTACTATGCTTAAACTTGAGTTCTGCTTCTTATTTTTCTGCCATAGATGTTTGCACCCCCTGTGGCTAATGGGAAGAACAGACCAACCACACTTGCTAGCAGTCAATTTAGTGGTTCAGGTAAGTCTAAACACATGCCTTTTCCCGTTTAGAGAGGAATGTCACATATTGCTTGAATTTGCCATATTTGTGCATTTCATAAGTTTAAAGCGGTGTTCTTTATAGCAGTGGAGATGTTTGGGCCAGTTGCTAAGTGCTCGTTCCTCTCAACAGAAGAAGAGGACATGCTTCTTCTTGTTTTCCTAAACCCCCTCTTTTATGAATTCACCGTAGTATAGAGTCAAAGCTTGGGGCAGTTTGGATCCCTTTGAACTGGTTGTTCAGTTGAAGCACCTATTGCACAAACTTGTACATCGTAAAAACTTTGTTAGGTCAAGAGGAGTGACTGATTTGGTTGGATTGCTCTTCATAATCATGTTTGTGTCCAGAACATTTTAACAGCCCAAAACATCTCTTTGTCATTTAAAAAGTATGTTTTTTTTTGCTTTGTTTGTATGTTTGCCATTATTTACTTTATAACTAGTTGCATATCACACTCACAAAAGTGTTATTTATGCGACCATTGTTGGCTTGTGTTGCTCCAGTTAAGATTGTTTCAGAAGCTGTCAAAGGCATGAACGATCCATGCGTTTCTCTTCAAGTCTTTCTTTCAAGTCTGTCTGTCTCCCAATCGACACTCCAAACATTAGCCTTGAATAAGAACAATATGAGAACAAAGACTTAAATAAAGGCCTTACGGTCTCCAAATGATTCCCCCACCCCACTGCATAAAACACTCCTCCCCCCACACAAGAAAACACTTTCTCCCCCTGCCAACTGACAGGAAATGGACTCTCTCTGAAACAAAGCTCTCTCATACCTCCCACCACCCCGCAGGAGGCCCACATGAAAACAGCAAAAGAAACACTGTGAAAGATCACCAGCTTCACTCTCGGTCTGTGGCAGCCTAAAGTGCCAGTTACATAGTAGGGCCAAGCTAATGTCTCAGTTTGAGATTTTTATTGCAAGAGCTACTTGACACAGAGGTGACCCCGATTGTTAAATCTGTCACTTGTGAGATGCTTCTAGAAGGTCTCCACATCAGCCTCACCCTGTGAACTCGGTATCACAGGCTATGACATGTACTTAGGCTACGTCCACATGAAGACAGAGCTTTCCCTATCCTATCTTTTTTTCCCCTCGTCTCAAGAAATATCTGTCCACACGAAACCAACACAAAATTATGTAGTATACATGCCAGACCAGTATGTGGTGCTGTAATTCTGCCACAGAGATACACTAAAAACGGAGAAGAAGACTTGGACTATGTGCATAAACCTTGCACGCGGTAGACAAACGAACATGGAACAATACAGTTATTAATCTGTGTTAATGTTAGTTAATAAAAAGACAATCGTTCAGTGTTTGTTCATGTTTTTGTTGCTGTTACATGACGTGACGTAGCGGTGTCTGACTAGGGGCGAGACGTGGGCTGATGGCATCATCATCACAGAAAATATACGGATTCGCTGTACACACAAAAACGCAAGGGCGTCGTTTTCAGATTTATCCACTCTGGGACCCGGTTTCAAAAAATATCAGTTTCACTCTCCCAAAATGCCAGATCCGTCTGGACGAAAGCCTATACGATACAAAATGTATGCGTATACAGCTAAACGCGTCTCCGTGTGGACGGGGCCGTAGATTCGCTATTGAAAAGCAAAGGTCCAAGGGACAGTTCCTCAGCGTTATTAATTTAAACTCTTAAAGGAATTATGAGTTCAGTACGTTAAGCTATGTCGGCATAGTTTGTGAACATATTCTCAATTACCACAAAAAATAATTTTAACTCGACCCTCAATTGTTGTTGTTTTTTTATTATTTGCAATTTATCCAACTAATCTGTACATTCAAAACCTTGTATTTTAACATTTATTGTATTGACTTGTCCTTTACTATTTTATTTTACTTTTAAAGAATTAAGGGACAAAGGACATTTTATTTTCTGTGGTAACATGTCACAAATGCTGTTGATAGAGCTTGGCATTTATTGAACCTAGAACATTCCTTGAAGATCATAAAAAGTATTGCACATTAACAAAAGCTGTGATCTTGACTTCTTTGCATGGACTGGATTGCTTTTCAATTTTAAACCGTTGGTCAGGAGTTCAACTTCTGACTGTCCTCTACTATTCAAGCTGACCATCCACAAAGTAAGGACGTGTTTAAAGGAAGCAGTGGCCTTCAGAAGTGCATCTGTTCCTCAAGACAAAAGTGCTTGGGAGGGTGCTAATTACATTAAGCCATCTCCTCCCCCTCCTTGGGCATAGCCATGGTGTTTGCGGGATTTTTTGCATGGGAGGACTTCACCAGGCGTCCTCTCGCTCACCTCCACAGCTGCCCAACACATCACCCACTGAGGACAGCGTTAGGACAGGACAGAGCCCATTTCCCCCCTGGTCACACCCTTGAGATGCGAGCACATTTACACACACACCTCAAGTTATTGCTTCACTTTTGATATTTGCTGCCATCTGAACTTGAATAATGGCATGCTGTGTAACTGATGTATTTGAAGGAGTGTATAAAGGAAATGATCTTTCCTCAACGCAGGAAATGGAATCAGTTCCTGCATGACTGAATGTCAGATTTGTCTTTGTAGAATTGCATTTTGATGCTTCCAGCAAATAAGTGGCCAATAACTCAAAATATAAATCACATTGTATCCTTAAATAAAGCCATTTTGTATATACAAAACTAATTTGCCAGAAAAAGCACCAGTTTAGTTTGGAAAAATGGTAATTCATAAAAAAACATTCTACCATTGTAACAGTGTTGACAGATCCAATCCAAACCATTCCCCATGTTAAACATCTTATCTGGTCCTTCTGCATCTGAATCTGTATCTCTGCCACTTCATTTTCCCCACGTAAGATGATTCTGCCAGGGAGATTCTTTCACTCACTCACTCAGTGCCCACTTGTTTTCCCATGCTGTCTGCGTGGGCTCCATAGATCACGGCTGTCAATGTGGATGTTGCTATTTGCTCTGCTTTGTTAGCTTCATCACTCATGCTCAGCCTTCAGTGGCCGCTCTGGCTGAGACCCCCTCTTCTCTCACACATTTTTAATTCAACCTAAAAAAAAAAAAATCTAAAGGAGAATATGAATATTCATAAACCAACTGCATTAATATGCACAATTATGCAAATCAGCATGCAATTAAGCCATGTGTCTTTGGAGAGCATTGCATTAAGGCATAAGACAGGAGGCAGAGGGGAATGCTTTATGAGGAATTTCTGCTCCAGTACACTTTGAAATGTTGCCGCAATGTTTTTGATGGCAATGAAGAGAACCATTTAACACTCCGTATCCTGTATGTCTTGAGACCTGTGTTGTCCCTATGGGTGTCCACTCCCAAATGTACAATGATGCTAATTTCGCAATTCTATGATCAGCCTGTTTTTGTTCTGCTTGCCGTGACCCCCCCCCAAAAAAAAAAACTTGTCTTAATGAGATCCAGGGCTGAATGAATGCCCCCTTTATGGTCAGTGATGTTGAAGCTTGCTGAATGACATGGATATTAGTGTGGTGTGATGGTTTTGGATGAGATCCAGAGGCTGTCTGACAAGCACAGAACCAGCCACCAAATGTCCAAAGGCCTTAATGCATGAAAAGAGAATTAAAATGGGCCTTGATGTGAAGATTTAGTGCATGCCAAAATTGCAGTATTGGTCTGACAGTATGTGATCACTTGCTTTGTAGGTATGGAAGAACGTAGTAGTCCCTGGGCTGCTGGAGAGCAGAACAGTCCCTCTTTTAACCAGGTAGAGGTAGACCCAGTGCCTTGTTTGTGGTCTAAAGGTGTTGTTGGGACATGTTTTATAGTTTTGACCTGCTTCTGTCTTGGTTTGTCCAGAACTATGGAGAAGGCTCACACTACAATGAACACAATGGACTATCTTCCCCATTCCTTGGCACAGGAATTAGTGGTGAGTTTTACCAATGTTTGGTGGGTTGACCTCAAAGCTGCCGATGTAGAAACTGCCCCATGTGTTGCCCTGGAAGTTGTTCAGGGTAGTCGAGCTCCTCTTTGGCCTCCGCAAGCGGATTCACTCTTAACCTCCATGTTGTGTCATTGACTTCTGATTTCTTCCAATAATTGTAACATTTGGACTTTATTTGAAGTGTTGAGTGAGATTGGTTCACTCAGATTTCAAATGTATTTGCTCATAATGCCAACTATTTTTACTTGCAGGAAAGAATGAAAGGGGTCCTTACTCTTCCTTTGGGGGCCAGGTCAGTTGAATCAAGTCTTGAGCAACTCCTGAAAGTGCTTTAGTCACTTGCTTGACATCATGCTCTAACTTTTGACTTAAATCCGCCATCTTGTTGTTCCTTATAGCCAGGGTTCCTGCCCTCAGACATCACCATGCCTTCTGCAGATGCCATGTCTCCATCCGGACTGAAGTCTGGCTCACAGTTTTACCAGTCATACCCCAACAACCCCCGGAGACGCCCCTCAGATGGAAGCATGGGTAAATAACTTACAACATTTACTAGACTTGCATCAGATTAGTCGGTATGGAAAGAAAGAGTACCTTTGTGTATGCTTTGATCTCTTTCACAGATCCCCAACCAAAAAAAATCAGGAAGCCGCCAGGACTACCATCTTCAGTGAGTGAACTTTCTGAAATATTCTTACTTGTTTCCCAATAAAAGTATTTCATTACAACCTCAATTTAATGATCAGAATTGTGAGGAATTACACAGATGTTAAAGGGTTAGTGCACCCAAAAATGAAAATTAGCCTGTGTTTTACTCACCCTCAAAGCATCCTAGGTATATGTGACTTTCTTCTTTCAGACGAATCCAATCGGAGTTATATTTAAAAATTGTCCTGGCCCCTCCAAGCCTTTCAATAGGGGTAAGCGAGTGTTGGTTGTCAACAGTTCAGAAGACGTGAAATAAAGTGCACACATCCGTAATAAAACGTCCCTCACTCAGCTCCGGGGCATGAATAAAGGCCTCCTGTAGGGAATCCATGCATTTTTGTAAGATAAATCAAACGTAATAAACACTTTTTTTCTCACTTCCGCTGACTGTGGTACGCAGAAGTCGTTCAGGCGGATGACGTAAGACATAGGCGTCGTGCACGTGCCTCTGTGAAATGCAGGAGCAAAGGAAACAAAGTTTCCTTACTTCAGTAAAGGAAAACCAGTCTCCTCTTGACTTATATTGAAATCCTCCGACATTTTTATTTACAAATCCTCGTTTTGTGCTTCTAATTCATGACCAGCGTTTTGTTTTGATCTGTCTCCGCGTTCGTCACTAATCACGCAACGTTGACGTCTTACGTCATCCGCCTGGATGTTTTCCACGTACGACAGTTCATGCCCCGGAGCTGTGTGAGGGACGTTTTATTACGGATGCACGCACTTTATTTCACGTCTTCTGAACTTTTAACAACCAACACCCGCTTACCCCCATTGAAAGGCTTGGAGGGGCCAGGACAATTTTGAATATAACTCAGATTGGAATCGTCTGAAAGAAGAAAGTCACATACACCTAGGATGCTTTGAGGGTGAGTAAAACACAGGCTAATTTTCATTTTTGGGTGAACTAACCCTTTAAGTAAGCAAAGTCCTGCTTACATGATGTTGCAGCCATTTGTGGCATCTGAAATGGTTTGACATTAGTCCAAAAGTTTAGCTCCAACACCTTTCAACACATCTGCCTGGACATTTTTTAGTAATAAATTATGCAGGAAGGTTCCAGACCTCATTCAGAGTAGAAACATTTTTAATATGACGTGAACAAACGAGAACATGGTTGTGAGGGGTAGATGTCCTCAGAGATTTTGCTGTTGTGTCAAATGGTTAGCGAACAAAACATTTAAGGCACATCCTTCCAAAAACATTATAGTTGACAGACTTTTGATTGAACAGGTTATTTAATTTGCGTCAAAATAAAAAGATGTCTACCATGACTAAGGTCCATAATATTTCGGAACCTTTGACCATTGCAAATCAGCGTTAAAGGGTTAGTTCACCCAAAAATGAAAATTCTGTCATTAATTACTCACCCTCATGTCAGCTGCGTCACGCGGATACGTTGTTTTAGTTCAAATCAAAGCGTAAACAATGTAGAAAACGTATCCGCGTGACGCAGCTGACACAGAATAGTATACGCTGTTTACGTTCAGTGGATATTCTCCAAAATGGCACCAGGGTGACGCGGAGGAGACAAATTGTTGAATAAAGTCGTTGTTTTTGTTTTCTTTGTGTACAAAAAGTATTCTCGTAGCTTCGTAAAATTACGGTTGAACCCCTGATGTCACATGGATTATTTTACCGATCTCCTTGCTACGTTTCTGGACCTTGATCGTGGTAATTACATTGCTGTCTATGGGAGGGTCAGAGAGCTCTCAGATTCCATCAAAAATATCTTAATTTGTGTTCCGAAGATGAACGGAGGTCTTACCGGTTTAGAACGACATGAGGGTGAGTAATTAATGACAGAATTTTCATTTTTGGGTGAACTAACCCTTTAACTTGAACAAACATGCAAGGAGCCATACCCCTTTTATTGAGTCATGGGAAGAGGAACTGTTGTTTCTTAGTCTAAATCCACATAAGCTCAACACTTTGCCCTCTAAACCCCCTCCTCAAACACGATCCTTCAGATTTGCCCATGCTAGACCTTATCCTCCCCCTCTTCCAAAGTGACCCAGTTGTGAGTCCCCTTGCACCTCTCTCTCTCTCTCTCGTGCTTGTCTTAGCTCAGATTAATGAGCTAGGCTTCTGATGAGCTAGGGTTCTAGCTCCTGCTGAATCCCACTCTACGGCTCAGTATAACTTCCTCTTGTGCATGCCACAGCATTATATTACCCTAATGATTGTACCAATGCTCACCTGCTACCTTTAGCATGCTTTTCGGATATTTAAAAAAATTCAAAGTTTAAATCCACCTTTGGCTAAGCACTAAAGGATATTGATCCTTAACTTGTCTGGGCTTGCCTTGATCTTCTGAAGTGCATCAACAAATCATTGTGAGGATGTGTTTCCTGGTGAACTTGAGAGAAGAGGGCCATTTGCAGGTTTTTTTTTTCCCTCCCTCATTTGTTCTTTTATGTGGTTTCTACATAATGGACCAGTCTATTTTGCTCCACTCCTACCACTTCTTCAGTAAGACCTCTCCCCCCACTGTTCTCACCCCTCCCCTCTTCAGCCCAGCTGCCTGTGGAGTTGGACAGGCTCCAGAAGTAGGCAGATGGCTCTGTAATTAGAAGTGCATCTCTCCATTCCCATCCCACTTCTCCCTGTTAAATCAAATTACAGGCAAAAGAGAAATATCGCTTTGCTGGATTTGTATTCTCCGCTGGCCCGAGACCCACCCGCCCGCCAGCGCCCCCTCCCTCCCAAACACTCGCTCATGTATGCGCACACACAGACAAACATACAAATCACACGTGTTAAGACGTGCATGTTGGGGAATACGCTGTATGGAGGTATGCCTCGGGTCTCCTGAATTCATATGAATTTCTGATCATCATTCAGTTTCATTTATCGGTTCCAGATAATTTTAGTATTACTATTATAAACAGTACAAATATCTATTTTTTTTTCCATTTCACTGTTATGGAATATGTCATTACCCAGTGTGCTTGGCTTGATTTGGACTCACTCTTAGTGTTGTGCTCCCTGTAGCTGTCCTCCCTCTCCTTTTTTGGCTCATGGGAGTGCGAGAGGAAGCGCTGACTGTGCCATGAGATGGCCGTGGCGCATTTCCCAGCATGCTCTGTCCTCTGTCCCTGCCACTTTATATGAGGGGGCACTATGGAAACACGCGTCCACGTCATTTGTACCGAAAATCATGATGCGCTTGCCAGTTTCATGGGCTCCATATCAGTTGTGCATTCATGTGCAAGCGATTTGCTAGGGTTATTTTGTCCATATGATGCCTGTTACTATGAATGTTGTTTTTCTTTATGTCCTTCATGTACCTTGTTTCTAAACGCAGGTTTATGCCGCCACCTCTGGTGATGACTATATCCGTGATGGTGCTGCCTACCCAGGCTCCAAACCTGGCTCTGTGTACCCAGGATCTTTTTACATGCAAGGTATGTACATGGGGCAATAAAATCGTCTTTTCCATATCTAAAAACCCAATCTCCCCAAGCCATAAATGCTAATATTAATGTATATATAACTTGTTCATGGAGACAGATTAGGAATGACTAAGCAGTTATCTTGTAGTTTCGTTTGTTTGATTTGAAATTAGTAGCATGCACAAAGACATATGTTTCTTTGGAATATAATAGACGTCCACATAAGATCTTGTGCTGACTGTTATTGATCATTCCCAACTGCCTTTGTGTTCGCAGAGGGCCTACACTCCTCTTCGGACCCCTGGGCCCCCTCTGGATCCATAGGCCAGTCGGGATACACTGCTATGCTGGGGAATTCGCCACACATCAGTCAGCCAGGCTCCTTCTCTACGATAAACCCACAAGACAGGATGGTATGTCTTCTGAAAATTTCGAAGGTTTTAGAGAAGGGCTTAAATTGTGATTCAATTCTGAAGTTCCAATAACTGTGTTTATCTCCACAGAACTATCCCTTGCATGGAGCGGACGTGAATGGTTTCCATTCGGGCTCCGCGGGTTATAGCCACACATCCTCCATGAATGGATCCGACAGCATTTTGGGTAAATCACCTTCATGTTTTTAATTTAATGTCCTCTAGGTTGTGAAATGAGCTTGTAATTGGGTTGAGATTGGTACTTGAAGTTGATTCTTCTTGTGAAATCATTTTTGGCCTTGGACTAGTCTGAACTTGAACTGTAATCTTTCATTCAGACTTAGCCGATAGCAAATTATGGATCACTTGAATAGTTGTGACATTGATGTAATGAATGAAGTTAATAAGTACTCCCGTTCTCTACCACAGCAAGCAGAGGTTCAGTCACAAGCAGCTCAGGTGATGAGGTCGGAAAAGCTCTTGCTTCGGTGAGTGAGCTTTCATTAATCACCATGAAAGAGCATTTGGCCATGTGAAGTCAAAGATGGATAGCATTATTCAGACTTTCAGTGATCCCTTGGTTATAGATTATTATTAGCCATAGGAGAGCTTCACATTTAGTCATGTTCCATGTGTTTTTTATTGACAGATCTATCCTTCGGACCACAACAGCAACAACTTCTCCACTCCTTCCACTCCTGTGGGCTCCCCTCAGGGCATTGCAAGTAAGTCAGATAAGCTGTCAAAGCTTGATATGGTTCATTAGATCTGTTTGTGTTGAAAGGTACCAAGACAAAAATGGGTATGCAGAGGAAGAAGCCTGAAGAATCATAAATCATTATTTTTAGATTGATGGGCTTTGTGTAGGTTAAGGTGTGAATGTGAAGCTCTAGAGCGCCATCTGCTGTCATAGTGACATACCAGCATTCAGATGTTTCACATTTAGTCTATATATCATGTTCTCCTCAGCAGGTGCAGCACAGTGGTCGAGAGCTTCTGGCCAGGCTGCTCTGTCTCCTAACTATGAGGGTGGACTACATGCACTGGTAGGTTTATCCTTTTTGAATATTCCCACAATGTAAACACCTCAAGCTTCACTCTTCAATTAGACAAATATACAAGTGTTATTTTAGTATTATTTGTATAATTTTAAAATATTAATCAGTATTGTGATTTCGCTTTTATGGTTGGTTTTATTTAAAATTTTAGTTGTTGTTTTTTTTCTATTTAGCTTAAATAGATTTTTATTTCAGTTTTAGTAATTTTAGTACTTTTATTTGTGTTAGTTGCCAAGGCAACATTTCTAATTTTCGTTTAAGCTCAAGTTTTCCATCTAATATTCATATTTTATCTCAGCTAACAACAATTACTTTAATAGTTTGTTTTACTTAACAATAACACTGATGTACAACCACATTTAGCAATGTTAGCATTTAGCGTTTTTAGATTATATTTAAAAAAATGCAATTTAAACACATTAAATAAAATGTATTGTGTTCTAATATTATTATATTATTTATATGTTTGACTTTCTTAATGAATGTTTTTGGCCTCATTGTGTACAAATCATCTGTGCCTTTTATTCTATTTATTCTATTAAAGGCACAATATGTAAGATTTTTTTATTAAAATATCCAAAAACCAGTAGAACAGTGTTATATATTTTGCTGACTTGTGTACTTACATTATCCCAAATGTTTAGAAAGAATGTTTAAATCCAGAGAAATAAGCAATTTTATCTAGTGACACGGACCGTGTCCATAGTGTCATTGTGTCGCCTGCCAATGACGTCATAACCCCTCGATTTCCGGTTTTGTTTTGAAGAAAACATGGAAACACCAAAGACGCTTTAATATGTTGTGCCTTTTATTAGACAGGTGACGACCGCACAGAGTAGCATAATAACAGGACTTTCAAATGTATCTAGTATGATAAAACAGCGCTGCTTTACCCCACATACGCACGACCGGAAGGAGTGGAAGCAGTCGACTGTGGCATAATAAAAGCTCCGCTGCTTTTGAACCGTGTGTCACTCTCGTCTCTCATTAGCAATTGCTTCAGCGGCCTCGTTTCGCTTCAACAGCTTTTTGCCTCACTCTGCTTCATACTATGATGTTAATAAATCTTATAGAAAAGCTAATAGATTAGCTCATCCATGAACATGATTTCTGCCTGAGTCCCGTCGGATTGCTTCGGCTGTGGGGATGAAGACGACAATTCCCATGATTCCACACTCAGTCACGGCGTCATCAAACTACGCCTTTGTTTCTTTGTTTGTTTTGAATACGTGCCCTCTAGTGGTGAAAACTTACATATTGTACCTTTAAGTTCATAATTTAAAGGTATATACTTATGTATACTTTAAGGTAAATATCAATTATTTTTCTCCACAGCAGAACAAAATGGAAGACCGGCTGGAGGAGGCCATTCATGTGCTGCGAAGTCATGCGGTGGGTCAGGCCCCGGGATTTCCTGGAGCACATGCTGACGTGCACGGCCTACTGGGTGCCGTCTCCACACCCAGTGGATCTATGGGGGGTCTCCCTCAGGCCTACTCCAACCCAGGACTGCCCCTGAGCAACAGACACCCTGCCATGGTTAGTGCAGGCACTTAGTAGTATGATCCAAACAGATGGATAACACGAAATCCCATCCAAGGCATCATGTTTTTGGTAAATTGGTTCATTTGGGTGGTTTATTTCATTTAACTTTATAAAAAAACTGATTCAGTGATTTGAATTATCAGCTTGATGGCAATAGTTATAGCTATTGGCTGATAGTAATGCAAGTAGCAATGCATCATATTTTTAGTAAAATGAGCAAATATTATGTAAAAATAAGTGTTAATGTACACTTGTATATTATCTTCATTATACTTTATTTGAATGTGTCCTAGTTACGTTGTAATTACACAAAGTACTAAGCAATATTAATTGACAACATGTACTTACTATAGGGTTTGGTTTAAGGTTAGCTATCTGTAATTCTTTATAAAAGTAGTAATACTAGTACCCTGTTCACTAAATTATTATCATTATAGTAAGTACATGTAATGTGTAATAAGGACTCCGTGAAATAAAGTGTCTTAATATATTATTTAGTTTAATAATTCATATATATGTTTACTTTTTATTAGTTTTTCAGACCTTTTTTAAGTTTAATTTAACTACTGCATCTCGCTATAGTTTCAAATTAGCTTTACAAACACTGATTGCATGTCTCCAGTTTACAGCTGTATGTGGTATTGTGTAACACAAAACACTAGTAATGCACCTGTGGGTGTTGATATGTGCTAATTACTCTCCCTTGTTGCACTTGTCTGCAGGCTGGAAGCCATCATGATGACCATGCCTGCCTTCCTCCCAGCAGCACCCTGTTGCAGTCCGCTCATGCTTCAGGCACCCCACAGCCTGGAGGAGCACCAGAGGATTTTAGCAGTGAGCAGCAGTTTCAATTTCTCTTTCTGAACCAACCAAACATGTCAACAACAGATGCAAACGCTGAGAGTTGCGCGTGAGTTTCAGCGGGATGCATTTAACGATTTCCTGTCTCTGACTTCAGGTTTGCCCGGAGGCTTGGCCCACGCTATGCATTCGTCAAACAAACCTGACGTCAAGAGGAAAGACAAGGAGGAAGATGAGAACTCCTCTGTGGCCGATAAGTCTGAGGAAGAGAAGAAGGAAAGTAAACCGTCTCGCACCAGAACAAGGTACAAGATCGCTTTTTTTAGCATTGCCCTTAAATAATGGCTGAATGATTTTTGAACCAGAAATGCTCAACCACATGATGGTTTGAAGCAAATCTGCATTGCCTTAATTTGATTGCCAACAAAGGTCTATAAATTTCTGTTTGTTCAAATGTTTCTTCACATTGGGCCAGGCCTGATTTCAAAGTGTTTGGGCTTCCACAACACCCAAAATACCATGTTTTATAGTGTTCTACATCCCCCCTTCCCAAACTCTCACATTGTTTTCAGAAAGGAGGTGTTTACCCATCAAGTCCTTTCAGGTGTATCAGACCAGGGAGAAGAGTAAGTCTATCTCCCACCATAGAGTGCACACTTGATCGCTTTTAAACGTTAAATGTCTTTGTGTTATTGTGCACAAAATGATTTCAAAGCCATTGAAACACTAAAATGATTTTGGCACAGGTGGGACTCTCTCCTATATAGGACATTTTCATGATTGAAACTAGAATCGTCTGTTTTTCAATGCGCAGTTGGCTGCAAAATCAGCATATGAAGCTAAATTTATATAGATTTTTTAATATATATATATTTTTTATTATTATTTTTTACATTCATCTCTTGATCTAAAATGGGTTACTGATATTTCTATACTACAAATAAAAGGTTTGGACCCAAATTGTCATTCTATATCATCATCAAGAAATGGTGAAAATGATAATGAAGTCAGCAAAACTATGAAATAACATGAATGGAGGAAGTATACGAATTATGGGGTGCTTAACCATATTGAAGGAGTTTGCATGTATTCTGGACCCCAAACCTTTGAACAGTAGTGTATATAGATGCAAAATATTTCTCTACTAAAGCAATTTCACACATTAATGCATAACCGTTTTGATCAAAATGCATTAACCATGAGAAAACATTTGTCAGGTGTGTCCAATCTTTTGACTAGTACTGTATTTAAGAGATTTATAATAAGTAATTTATATTAATTTATACATATGAAGAGTTTGGTTCCAAAACGCGATAAACGCCATTTTTTTTTTTTTAAATTGAGTTTCCGCCAAAATCAGTATTGTATCTGGTCGGTATTGAAATGTCCATTTTTAATTTTACGCAAAATTCGATATCCGCCGAGTTATACTGTCATGTTTTCTCCCTTTTTTTCTTCCTCCCTTTGTCTCCCTTCTCTGCAGAATGCGATATATCCGCTCAACCAATCACAGCGCACCATTCCACGCACTCTAGACAGTAATGGCGGCGCTTTGAATACACCCGGCTTCCTAGTTTTCGTCATCCATTTTGTGCTTTGTGATCAACAAACAAACTTAGGGCTGCACGATAAATCGCATGTGATTGTCATGTGCATCTCGTAAGTAAAGCCGGTTCTGTGATTAGTATTGTTGTAATTAATTTATAGCATTAACAAGATGACCCGTTAAATTCATTTTGGGAGCGATAACTGATTGAATGTTTTTTTAGTCCAGTGCCTGTATATAAGATTAGTATTGACCAAGTTCAGAGGCTGTCATATGTGGATCAACTTACTTTGTTGTGTATTTTCAACAGTTTCAATATGAAAAATAACTTTTATATTGATTCAATAGATTTATTGCATTTTGGAAAAAAAAAAAAAAAAAAACGTGTCATGGATTTATTGTATTTTTTGGGGGAAAAAAATCAGTTTTTATAATAAATCTTTGAAAATCAAAATCTGGATTAGAATTTTTCATGTTATTATAACCTAAAGATGCTATGTGAAAGTTTGAAACAGAAATTAGTGGTTTTCATCTTGCCACTTTCTTGGTAAAGAAAACACATTTTTACTAAAATTAATCAAAATGGATTTATAGTGTTTTGGAGCCAAACTCTTCATATATATATATATATATATATATATACTATATATTTATAGTAATTTATATATTTATAAGTAATTTATGTACACAACTTTAGTATACTTGAGCAGGCACCTGGACTACAAAGCTTACATTTTAAAGATATTTTATAAAAATAAAATGATATTTTATTGGATTTTAATAAAATAAGTTTTCATTGTACAATTTTAAAAAATGGAATTGAAATGTTATTTATATTATTGTCTCTTCACAGTGAAGATGATGAGGATTTGCCGCCAGAGTTAAAGGTCGAGCGGGAGAAAGAGCGGCGAGTGGTCAACAACGCACGAGAGCGACTGCGTGTGCGTGACATCAATGAGGCCTTTAAAGAGTTGGGCCGCATGTGCCAGCTGCACCTGAGCAACGATAAACCCCAGACCAAACTGCTCATCCTGCACCAGGCCGTCAACGTGATCCTAAACCTGGAGCAACAAGTCCGTGGTGTGTTCTCATCCTTTTTTTTCTTTCTCCAATATATTTATTGAATATTTTCCAACTTTAACAAAAAACACATGAATATAAACCATAATCATAAAAAAAATAAAATAAAAAGTGTTTTCATCCTTAATACTGACATAAAACAGCATTTACTTGTATAATTTTATGAGTAATACTGAATATTCATGGGGAAATACGATAGGCCAGAACTTAAAGGGGTCATATGATGCGATTTCAATTTTTCCTTTCTCTTTGGAGTGTTACAAGCTCTTGGTGCATAAAGAAGATCTGTAAAGTTGCAAAGACTAAAGTCTCAAATCCAAAGAGATATTCTTTATAAAAGTTAAGAGTCAGCCACACCTACCTAAAACGGCTCGTTCTAACACATTACCTACGTCACTATCTGGGAAGATTTGCATAACGCCGCCCAAATGTTCACGCAAAGAAAGAAGGCGTAACTTTTATTCTCGCTGTAGTATTTTTGCTGCCACCGCCGCCATGTCGTGAAGACACTGTGTGTTTCGTTGTGAAAGCGAAACTACTTTGTTTGGCCTTCCAAAAGAGGACGATATCTGCT